GTGCTGCACCGCGATTTGTTATAACATCAGGAATTTTCAAGATAACGGAACATTCTGATTGGCTGATCACTTTGTTATCTGAGCAGCGCTAATTGCTTTTAAAAAATGTGTTGCAAATCCTGCACCTGTATTTTTGTTTGAATTGGTTTAGAACAGGGGTGCCCAAAAGATCCCCAGATGCTGTAGAACTAAAACTACCATGATGCTGTGCGTGCCTTTAGAATGCTTTAGAATGGCAAAACATCATGCAAGCTGTAGTTTTAAACATCTGGGGATCTACCTTTTGGGCATTCCTGGTTTAGAATATGTTCAGTGTATTATTTTAACACTGCATTTAAAAAAGAAATGTCTTAATTCTAGCCTAAATCGGCCCTTCAGTACAGGCAATACAAGGGGTGTGTGGTAGATGCGAGTCAGAAATTAGTTAGAGCTATTTTGCCTGCTCAGCTGGCAGTAAAATACTCTAGCTCAGAGGGGTTAAGCCATTACACAATAGATCAATAGACACACCTTCCTAACATTTTCTAGTTAAATTGCATTCCTGCTCTATTCCGGAAGCGAAACAGCTTGGCTTAACTCCTGCAAATATGCACTTTAGTGATCTCCTGAATATAAAAGTGCTTACAGCTGGGGGGGAAGCCTGTTTATTTTACCGGGATAATTATTATAATTTACATACATTATAGTCTAGGAAATATACAACATTTCAAACTATAGGCAAAATAAAAAAACTAAGGTGAAAGATATCCTTTACAGGTTAGTTATCCTATTTAGTTTAGTGTGAAAAAGTTATATTATGTTTTTTTTAATATTCAGATTTACACCTTCTTCTTAAAATTAATCCAAGGCATTGCATGAATTAAATATACCCATGATATAGTCTCCAAATATATAATGTTGAACCATGCATTGTGGAAAATCCATGCAATCTAAAGGTTCTAGATAGCCATCATAATAAACATCTAAACAAAAATTAAATTGGTTTATTGTGTTGAGAACCCCAGGATTGGATTTGTTCCCCCCAAATACATGCTTCACTCCTACACATCGATCTTATATAACTTGATATCTTAGTAATACTTAATGTTCTGTAGGGGTTAAACTTAGATTTGTGTTAGGAAACTATAGGTGTTAACATATAGTGGTAGGGTGTTTTTATATATCAGATACACAGTTAGAAGTTTGCAGAAGGGGAAGTCGAATATTGTGCTCCAAATTTAGCAAGGCAATATTATTCAGAGTTATTGCTAAATTTGGAGCAATTGCACTATTAATGTTTGGAATCTTTAAGTTGAATTAGTACTTTGTCGCATAATTATTCCGCCTTCCAGTTGATGAATATGGGGTCCATGAATCAGTATAAATTGTAATTACTAAAGATTCACACATAATTACTAAAGATTCACACAATCTATCTTTTTGCATCTTTGTGTTAATATTAAACCATAAATGTCATGCCTTCCAGCTTGAGGCATATATAGACAATAAACAGCTTTAGAGCTTTCTAAACATGATGGAACATCCTGTGATATATTGCATATACTTGTGTATACAAGTTCCCGTGCAGCCGTCTAGTATCTTAAATAAAGCACACCTGTGTATATTTGTATATAATGAAATCTACACAGCATGTCGTGAAATTAGTATCCTGTTTATCACTTCTAAAATTAGTCAGCAGTTGGTTGTTAAGACTTTACAAATTAGAGGGAAGATTTCATTAATCCTTGTACAATCACAAAAATGGGGTGCATCTAAAATGTAATGACTAGTGTGTCATCCTGATGTGTTTTTAACACGAGTGCCAGAGAGGTTAACAGCTGGAGTGCTATATCAACATTACAGCTTTTTCATTTGAACTATGTTTTTATTAACCTGATAATGCCACAGATAAAATAGTTTTGTTCAGAGGAGCTCTCTCTTTTAGGAACATACATTTTCCTATCTCAGATATATTTCCTTTATTCCTTTGGCCTGTGTTACCATATATATTGGGCAAAAATGATGCAATACATAGTAAATAATAAATCTGTTACTGTTGAATGATTTGTGGAATTTTTTAGGTCACCAAAGAGATGACCGAGCAACGTTTCAGCGCAGACAGATCTTTGCGAAGCGAAAGACATGTCTGGATTATAACCTGCCAAGTCAACTCTTTGGTGATGGAACACACTTCTCAAATTATTAAACAGTTACAGATTTATTCTTTTGCAGGTCAATGTGCAAGAATGACCAAAGGTAGACCCTCTTAATGAGGACAAGGCATCATGGAAGTTGTATTTCTAGAAAAGTTGAGAGGAGCCTAGCTTTTGACTGATCATTTCATTCAGTCAACTGAGCATCATTTGGATTGCACTACCAGAAGTAAGAAATCCATTTTCATGTGTTAAACAATGAAGAAAGGGTAGCGATCTTATCAGTCTTATTCATATTGTATAATACAGAGCCCATACATTAGAGCAATAGCTCATTAGGAAGGCCTTGTGTGGGGTTGTTGTATAGCTTGTACAGTGTGGAATATTAGGTCTAGAGGGGCTTTAGAAGCAGGATAAGTCTGATATGCTCATGGGTATACACTATTAGGCCACAACATTAAAACCACTGACTGGTGAAATTAATAGCATTGGTTATATTGTTACAATGGCACCTGTCAAGGGGTGGGATATACTATATAGCAAGTGTACATTTTTTGAATTTCATGTGTGGAAGCACGAGAAATGGGCAAGCATAAAGATCTGTGTGACCTTGACAAAGGCCAATAGTAATCGCTAGATGACTGGGTCAGAGCAACTCCAACATGGAAAGTCTTGTGGGGTGTTTCCAGTATGCATTGGTTTGTACCTACCAAAAATGGGGCAAGGAAGGATAATTGGTGAATCAGTGGTAAGGTCAATGGACTCTCAAGGCTCATTGATGCGCAAAGGCTAGCCCGTCTGGTCCGATCACACAGAAGAGATACTGTAGCTCAAATTACTGAAAAACCTAATTCTGGCCATAATAGCAAGGTGTCAGAACACACAATGCATCACATGATAATCCATGTCCATTGCTGAAACTCCCTTCAGTGGGAAGTGAGAAAGAACTGGACCATGGAGCAATGGAAGAAGGTTGCCGGGTTTGATGAATCATATTTTCTTTTAGAACAGGCGGATTTCCATGTACGTGTGCTTTGTTTCCTTAGGGAAGAGATGACAGTAGGATGTACTATGGGAAGAAGGCTGTGTTATACTCTGGACAATGTTCTGCTGGGAAACCTTTAGTTCTGGCATTCAAGTGGATGTTACTTTGACATGTACCACCTACCTAGAGATTGTTGCAGATCACGTACACCTCTTCATGGAATTGGTGTTTCCTGATGGCAGTGGCCTCTTTAAGCAGAATATTGCACCCTGCTACACTGAAAAAAATATTCAGGGATGGTTTGAGGAGGCCTAAACTCACAACTTGCAGGACTTAAAGGTTGTACTGCTGTTGTTTTGGTGCCATACACTGCAGGACAATTTAGTGGTTTTGTGGAGTCCATGCATCAACACATCAGAGCTGTTTTGGCTGCATGAGAGGGATCTACACACTATTAGGCAGGTGGTTTTAATGTTGTGGCTGATCGGTGTATTCTCTGTGTAACATCACATGTGAGTAGAAAAATATATGAGCAGCTTAAAGAAGGCATAATCGTATTTTATGTATTCATATATGATTCACTATAGAAATGTCAAGGTCAAAATGCCAGGAAATATTACTGTGCTACAATCATCATTTTCTAATGGTGCTTTATTCATTACAACACAAATAACATTTCATTGCATGTCATTAGAGAATGACATATACAAATATACCTCCCATGTCCCTTACTGAAACATACATCCTGCATATTATATAATAGCTGCGAACTTTGAGGTTAGCAGTCCATAGCATCTTGACAGCAGAACCTCAACTTTGATGGTTTCCCTAACCCTAAGTCACATTTCTGTAGGATACCTTGTGATATATATGCATTAAAATTCAGTAGACATACATACGTCTTGTTGTGCATGTTCTACATAATGCAAGTTTTGGCATACCAGGTTATTCATGAAAGTGAAAATTGTTGGGAATTCACAGTGAATTTCAAATTTAAGACCAAATTATCTGAACTAGAAACATTCTCCAAGTCAGCTATGCTTCCAGTTCAGCTATTTAGGCTTTAAGTTTGAAAATCATTCTAAAATTAATGACAATTTCCGTGAATTTAGTGAACATCCCTGAAAGTTATCCTTAGTGGAGCAACACACTGTAAATAGACACCCAGCTGCACAGCTTGACATGGAAGTGATCAAATTAGCTAATACTGTTAAAGCAAAGTAAAACAGATACTTAATCACATTACTTGTTTTCTCTTGTCAATAGCCTAGGCTAACAATAGCTTAGTCCAAAAAGGTTTTCCCCATTTAGTAAATGAGCTTCCAGATCAAAAGAACACCACAAGAGTATCTAATATCCTCTCACAAAGCTGTTAACCAATGTCAAACAATGACTACCGAGCAGACCTATTTTCTTTCTATTTGCAATGTTTTTTATTTCATAATATAGAATATTTTGGAGTGACTTATGCAATGACATTTAAAAGCCATGTCATCTTTAAACTGGGTTATTCTGTGAATCCTAACATTCCCCAAAGCTTATGATGTACAAAATACCGTTGGGTTCTATTCACTAAACACTGGTGGGGATATTTTCTACTAAAGTGAGATTTGTTGGAAATTGTCAGGGAATATCAAATGTTAAAAACATAAAGGACTTGTAGAATTCTTAAATGTGTGACATAATTTCACTTTAAATGCAGTGTTTGTGGGCTCAAGATATACTTGCAAATGAGAGAAATCTCAATGTATCCTTCCTGATAAAATATTTTATAAAAAAAAAAAAAAAATAGATCTCTGACAATTCATACTTTTATTAATAATCCCTTGAATATTTAGTGCTGTGTTAGGTTCTAAATCTCTACGTGAGAGTTATCTTGGTTCCCGATCAAACACTCAACAAGTTTGCTGAGGAGCACTGAGTTCTCTTTTGATAACTCATTTTTGTCGTCTGTGGACAGAAAACCCAGCGGAGACACTCATTATCAGGTATTATGAAATGTATCCCCTGGAGGAATATGGGATGACCCCCGACATTTCCTACATCTCAGGCAGGTGTATGACATGATGCACAGTATTTGCCCTACAATCCCCATGCCAGAATATGATGCAAAACATTATATGCATCTTCAACAGAGATTTTATATGATACATAGCATTTCATACACCCGTTAAAGCAGTATTATAGGATGCACAGCCTTTCATACAACCCTTGAAGGAATATGATAGGATGCACAGTATCTCAAATGTTCTATGAAGCAATATATGAGGCCAGCATTTTATGTCTTCTTTAAGTATATATTGTGATGCACAGTGTCCCATGCATCCCCCATGTAGGAGTAATGTATGATATGATATAATATGCTGCACATAGGTAAGAAAAAGTGATGCAAGGTTGTGATATCAGAGAATATGATATGATGGCGACATACTCTTCAAGAATGTAATACGATGCACATCATGTTATCATCCCATACACGAATATGACATAAAGCGCATATTTCATACATCCCATTCAGGAAAATGATATGATGTACATTTGTGATGTCATTTTATTAATTGCCAATTTGTCTGATAGAAATCAGGCTGTAAAATATCTATGTAATTGAGTCTACCTTTATCGCTAAAGCAAATTCACCTTTTTAGCAGTTATAACACTTTGCATTGCTTTCCCTTTTTTATTGTCATCTCGTCTCATTTAATTTCTCTTTTTTACAAAGTATAGTATTTGACGTGTACCAAACTTACTCTGTTTTTAGCAGATTTAAAGGTATACACATCACACATACAAGTGTTGCTTTTTATTTTTGATTCTTGAATTATATGCCCACAGTAGTGAATTTCAACCAAAGCCTTTTTAGTGAACCAGCTCCTGGATCCACCACACTGGACTTACGGTGTTAACTCTATTACTTTTCATCTCATTTACAGTTTAATAAAGATTGTGTGAAAAAAAAACACAACCTGGTTTGCTCAACCACTCATTTAAGGACATTATTGCACCAGGGTCTCACAAACAATGCATCCATTTGTTCTTCTAACAATGGGGGAAAAAAATAATTTTCACGCCTGTATCTGTACAATGCAGATTATTCGGTCACAGAATAAGTGAAAAATCTGCTTTTAAAGGGACACTATAGTCACTAGAACAACTACAGTTTAATGAAAAAAATAATACCTCAAGTGGCAGTCACTCAGATGGCCACTAGAGGTGTTTCCTATCTCAGTGCTGCAGTGTGAAGCACTGACTTTCAGTGTCACGCTGAGTGCTCCCCATAAAGATGCACTAATTCAATGCATGAATAGCCTTCCAATACTCTCCTATAGGAAAGCATTGCATTGTCTGAGAACTTTAATTTTGATGATGTCAGCCAAGGAGGGGGAGTGGGCTAGGGCTAGCCGCGATGAGATTGGCAAGGTGCTGTAAATAAGCTGAGTAAAAACACCTTTTTAAATGTGGGGCAGGAGGGCCGGTCACCTAAACAGCGTTTTTACAACTATACATGTTTGTATTCTTGACACTATAGTGTTCCTTTAACTTTTTATCTATAATAACTGGTAGCCAGCTACATTCATTAAATGCCCATAGCCACCATGCCTAGCTTTTCAAATTGCAAACTTCTACTGTTATTCACTACACCTGGAATCGTCAGAGATTCACCAGATAATTTTAAATGTTACTCCAAAAATAGCTAAATTGGTTAAAATTCTTAGTCACCTATCTTTCCATCAATATATCTTGCATGCTTATACTGCTCTGATTTCTTCCAGTATAGACAAACCTGCTCCAAATGACTTAGAAACATCTGAACACTGAGCGGATAAATGGAAGAGGTGGGACCTGTAATAAAAAAACTACAATTATAAAGAACTCTTTAGAACTCTTAGCTGTCCATACAAAGAAACCTGTTTATAGTGCACTATTCCCTTCCCATGTTAATTACTTCCGAGTGTCATCTCCCAGGGCAAGATCTTATTACCTGTACCTCTGTTCCACATACTGCATCTGCATGCCTTTTCCTTGTTAACTCTTTGCGCTCCTCACAGTAGATTTTTGGAAGGACTGACAGCTTCTACTTTACCAAAAGTTTGAAGCCATATTGTTAATCATTTTTTTTTATTTTTATAAACTTCTTTTATATATTTGTATTTTACCTCGTGGGGTTCTTTAGAACAGGAGAACAGTGTAAAGTTCAGACAATCTATTAGAAAGATTTTAGGTAATACTTTCTTTGCCCAAAACTTTAATCTCTACTCTTTGCTCAATTTAAACTTTACTAACTTGTAAAATGTTGACAGAATAAAGTTTGCAATTCCTGACTATATCCAGAATTATAAAAATGTCGAGGAGAGTCTAGGCGTAGATTACCTTTGACCCTGGAATTATGAAAAGTTTAGACATTCCTTTGTGCAACAGCAAATCCAACTGTCCGTAAAAACATGGCTGAGGAAATCTAATAAACAGCAGCAATTGCACAGGTTTTCTCAGTTTTTGCGACACTATGAGACAAAAGGTGTAAAAGAAAAATGTATAGAACAAAAAACAAAAGTTAATGATACATTTAAATAACAAGAAAATGCAGACTGACTGGTAGATGCTCATATTTAAATTATAATTGCTTAAATATGGTGTAAAATCATAGTGGTCTTTATGTAATGCGGCTATTTTTTCAATTCACTGGTCAATTTTCTACTCTGCTTAGTAAATGAACTGACTTGATTTCCAAATGCAGTGTTCCTTATAGCCAAGAAACCAAAAAGAATTACCTGCGATCTATCCCAATTCCCTATGCATATTTAAATAACTAGAGTTTTTTGTTAGTATCACTCCAATGTCCGTTAAAGTGTAAGCTCACCTTTTATGTCAAGGCAAAACCTCTTAGCTGAGTCCTACACTAGCAATTCACCTTGCTTCTTTCAGCCAAAAAGAAAAAAAAATCTCTAATGAAACCGAAAAGGGTATTCTTTTGAATCCCTACACACTTATTAACCCTTAATAAGGTAAACATGGGGTGGGCGGCAGAACTGTAACATAGCTGTTTCATACAGAAGCAAATTCAAGCACACAAAATAAAGCCCTGCTCTTAAACTCCCACTACTCCTGGGCAGCAGCAATGGCTACTCTATTCATCAGCAAAGATACATAGAACAGAAACCAAAAAAGAGTTATATGCGCTCTCTCCCAAATCCCTATGCACATTTAAATAACTGGAGGCTTTTTAGTATTACTCCAATGGCCATTAAAGTATAAGCTCTTCTACCAACGTCAAGGCAAAACTTCTCCTGTAAGTCCTTTTCTTACAATTCCCCTTGATGCTCTCATTAATAAGTCATAATCTTTAATGAGACCAAAAATGACATTATTATGAATCCCTGCAAATGAATTAACCCTTAAGGTACATATAATGCTAGGCGGCAGCACTGTAACATGGCTATGTAATATAAAAGTAAATAAAAACACAGAAATAAGTCCTTCATTACTAAGGGTTCATTAGTTTATAGGTATTCATAAAAATAGAGATTTTGCCTTTTAGCTGAAATAAACAAGGTGACTTGTTAGAGTAGGCTTGCCTTCATATTGGCAGATGAGCTTACACTTTATTGGTCATTGCGGTGATGTGATAATAAAACCTCTGTTATGTAAATGTTCATAGGGATTTGTGATAGAGTGCAGGGAACGTCTTTGGTTTTATGTTGTTTATCCCAGAAAAAACAAGTATTAGTTGAAACTTGTTAAAATATCTGATGGATAAAAACATAAAAATCCTAGAAAATGAATTGCATAGTGTCCACTTGTGCTAGATAGAGTTGGCTGGAGTTATTGTTACTTCGCATTGTTAACAAAAACTGTTTGCTCAATAACGACACTTGTCATCATCACATTAAAGCATCAGAATAATTTTGTTTAATACGATGCATGGTTTTGTATATAATAATGTGCAAAGGAGGGCGTTCGATGTTTAATTTGAATCCTTCCAGTCATTTTAGATCACATATCCATGTAGTAAATCCTTTAATAATTGGTAACCCAAATGCTGCTTCTGCTGGTATGAATTTGCTTACAATGTACTGTCTCTTTAAACACAATTCACTTCCCAGCCTGGCAGGCGCCCCTGGGCTTCAACAAAAGAACAGGATGTTGTTGATTTGTAACCAAACCAGGGAGGAAATGATTGTAAATTTCCTTTTAAACATCCCACTGTCTGCTGGCCTCCCCATCCCCCCTCCTATCCTTGCACTACAGTAGTCACGGCATACAAAATATTTCAAGGATAGTCTTTTTTTCCAGGTAGAATCTGCCTTACTTATCTTCCTGTTTTATGCACAAAATGGGATTTGTAGGATAAGAAGACGTCAAAAAATCAGGGAAAAGGTGAATTGCAAAACTAATCTGACCATAATATGAAAGGTATATTTGGAATTCACTTGTTTAAAAATTCAGGAAAAAAAAATTAAATTGCTGCAAAAAGCATTGTAAAACTGTTTATTTTTTATTTTTATTTTTTTACCTAACACTGTATTTCCTATTAAAATTGGTGTGGGTACTCAGCCGCTTTGATGTCATTATGAGCATACTTGGAAACAAGAGAAATCTGTCCATTCTGGTAAAATATTTTATCAATAAATAAATATCCCATCAAAAAAGTTATATTTGTAATTATTGCATTTGAAGTAAGGGCTTTGTTAGCCCTTTTTTGCCAATGTTGGAACAGAGCATGACTAACAGGCCATCAAAGATCATTAGTTCTTACTGGAATACGCACATGTACAGTGAGGAGGAAAAGTATTTGATCCCCTGCTGGTTGTGAATGTTTGCCCACTGACAAATAAATGATCAGTCTATAATTTTAATGGTAGATGTATTTTAACAGTGAGAGACAGAATAACAAAAAAATTATCCAGAAAAATGCATGTCAAAAAGTTATAAATTGATTTGCATGTCAATGAGTGAAATAAGTATTTGAGCCCTTCGACTTAGTACTTGTTGGCAATCACAGAGGTCAGATGTTTCTTGTAGTTGGCCACCAGGTTTGCACACATCTCAGGAGGGATTATCTCCCACTCCTCTTTGCATATCCTCTCCAAGTCTCTCAGCTTCAAACTACAGCTCCCTCCACAGATTTTCAATGGTATTAAGGTCTGGAGACTGACTAGGCTACTTCAGGACCTTAATGTGCTTCTTGAGCCACTCCTT